GGGGAGCAGGTTGCCAGCCAGGAAACATGTAGAGTCATAATCCGAGTATATATTCTAAAAGGGTCAATTCAAAAGGATTCTACATAACAGAATTTATGGCAGACATCTCATAAAGCAAATTATAGGAGGATGAAAATAAATATTATGAAGTTGCCATGTTGCCAAATACAAATAGCTAACCATACAGTATTAAAGTGTCAAGACCCAATTGGGACAGTTCTCATGATTTACTAGTGATACTGACCAATAGGATAATGAATGACACTAAGCTTAATTTTGTTCAGCACGATTTGTTTCTTTGTTCTGCTTTGAGCACTTCTTTCTTGTCATTGTCTCATGAGTATGTCCACTTGTGCAATCAATACCAGGGGCTTGTATTTGAACCTTTAACCTTGCTCGAATGCGATTGCCTTAGTTCAAAGCTTTCTACGCTTTGGGTATTGCTGGTTTTAAAAATTCAAGTGTACACAAGTGTGTCAATGTTAGCAAATGTAACTTGCACTGGTAGAAATTGATTATTGTTCTGGTTTTGGGATCTTCATTGCCTTTTGTTGTGGTTAACAGTCTCCCATTCCAGGTTCAGTTAGTGGCTTTAAATGTTTATGCAGTTCCATTAGTTGATGGTTATAGCATTTGCAGTTTACATTTTCCTGCATTCAAATTGACTATGGTAAATATTTAAGTCTATCTAGTAGGAATTAGCTTTAAGGTCAAGCTTTTAAAATCTATTTTGCAGAACTTATCTCAAGGAAGGGGTGCTGGGAGGAGATTGACAACACCAGATGCTGAATCTCTTTCCAATGTAGAAACAAGGAACATGAGGAGGCCTTCTTCATCTTCAGTTGCCGGGGGCTTACCTCCATTGGGAAGGTTTACATTTAAGACACTATTATAGTATCTTCTGTTGTGTTAATTTATTTAGTTATTTTTCTATTTTTTTTATTTAAGATTTTGACTTGGGAACATCTCATGCCACAGGCCAGGTCCTGCTGCCCAGTCATCTGGTAAGTTGTCCACCCGCTTTATTTGTATTAATTCCTGGATAAATGCGTAACCTTTTTCATATGGTTGAGATGGTTAGATAGAAGAGCAGGTTCGTCAGTATCTGGGTACAGGAAGGATGAATACAATTGGAGATATGACAACGATGAACTTGCAGAAGATGTAATTCGTGCTTCATCTGCCTTGGAAAACCTTCAGTTGGACAGAAAAGCTCGGAATCTTACCACTTCCTGGCGGTAAGTGTTTGAGAACTAGATGCCATTTTTCTAATTTGGTTTTGATGTAACATTGTAACTTCTGTTGGATGGTGTGGAAGTTATCAGCTTTGGTTAATGTTAGTCCTGGATGGTTTATTTAGTTTTAGATGTGGCTGCTATAAGATACATCACTTGTGGCTGGTCGCTAAGGTTAAATAATGACAACCTTATTTTTTCCACTAAGGCAGGTGTTAATTGCATAGATGTCATTTTGTAGCAAAACTAGACTAGACAGTACCTTTGGGCTTGTGGGCTGAGAGAAATATTACCCATGTTTCCTATCAAGTTTGGATTTTATATTTTTATGCTACTTATAGAGAACTCTCTATTTAAATGTGTTGAATTGTCTGCACAAAAATTGCACCAAAGCAGGTGCCAAATTTATTATAGTGTTGAATGCGATAAAAACTTAACTATGAATTAAGAAAGAGGACTATCTGAATTAAGGAAAAGATACTATCGCCAATTCCGGCAAAACATGGAGAGAATATATGTTCTAATGTGCACGCATGAGAAGTTTGTCTTACGACTAAAATAGGTCAAATTTGGTGAAGATCCTTTTTAAGTAGAGATTATTATTTTGTAAAGTTCTAGATCAGATTATTACTCACATATCCAGAAGATGAAAGTAGCTGAAATCAGGATGTTGAGGTGAATGTGCGGGCATACTAAGATGGATAAGATTAGTAATGAAGATATCTGGGAGAAGGTGGGCGCGACCCCATGGATGACAAGCTGCAGGAAGCAAGGCTCAGATGGTTCGGAGAAGCCCAGATGCGCCGATGAGGAGGTGTGAGCGGCTGGCTTTGGTGGGTACGAGGAGAGGTAGAGGGCGGCCTAAGAAGTATTGTGGAGAGGTGATCAGGCAGGGCATGGCGTGACTCCAGATTACCGAGGACATAGCCTTAACAGGAAGTTGTAGAGGTCGAGCATTAAGGTTGTAGGGTAGGAGGTAGTTCTGCATATTTCTACGGTGCACCAGAGTGAGGCTAGTCTGTTAGGACCTAGTCTTAGGACCCGTTTGGCCATAGATTTTGCCAAATTTTTTCCAAATTATTTTTGGCAAATACATGTTTGTTTATGAAGTTTATCCATATTTTGGCAAATTCCCAAAACCCAAAACCCAAATCCCAAAACCAGCTCAAGAGTTGGTTTTGGCCCAAATTATTTCTATTACATTTTTTAAAAATTGCCCCAAACTTTTGTATTTTATAAAAGAGCCCACCATTTATTATTTAGTAACAATGCTGCTTCGTCTTTTCGGTCATCTGATAGTGTATTATGTAGTTCATTATAAAAATGATAATTTTGTACCAAATTTATTTATGTTCAGGACTATGCTTTGTGATAATGATAATGAATGTTATTGATGAAGGTATTGTTGGGCATTTGTGATAGTTTTTAGAACTTGTGGGTATAAGTCATGTTTCATGTTTTTAAAAAAAAAAGTGAAATATGTTTTGAAAACTGATGTCCAAATACATTTTCATCTTCAAACCAAACTTCACCCAAATCAGATTTTTCAAAATAAATTTAGGAATCTATGGCCAAACGCTAGCTTAGACTGTTAGTGGTTAATGTTGAGTCACACTACTGTTTCGTTACTCTTAGTGCCGGGCTTTATCTACTGGTTATTGTTTTGTTGTTCATCTATTTTTTGGTTATGGTGATGATGTTATTTGTTTCATGGTTTCTTTTGATGGTATTGATGTATTGCCTCTTTTCGTTTTCTTGAGCTGAGGATCTTTCGGAAACAACCTCTCTACCCCCTCGGGGTAGGGGTAAGGTCTGCTTATACACTAACCTCCCCAGACCCCACTAGTGGGATTTCACTGGGTCGTTGTTGTTTCTGCTAGATCATATTATTATTTATAAACCGGATATTCTTACTTTTGAAGTTACTTAATTGTTAAAAATGCATTACTTTTAACTTTTATAACTTACCAAAAACAAATTGTTAAACATGCATTATGGTTAACAGTAAAGTACCACTCCTTTTTGACTAAACAAAAGATGTGTCCTTTTTATGTTTCCAACGTGCCACCAGGATATTGAAAAGTTATGCATAATGAAAGAAGATAAGGGTAAAAGCTTTCATAGTGTTCTCACACAAACAAACGTAGTCGGGGAATAAATAGGCTTCTTTTCCTCTCTCTTTTTTGGCTCAATTAACTTCCTGAAACACAATGAAGTGGGCCATAATATCCATGGTTCAAAGTTGAGTGTTTGACCAAAGTTGGGATGTTGGCTGGGGAATGGAAGGTAAGCCCGTTGTGTGCAAAAGGATGGACTGTAGAAGAAACATCCAGCTATAGTTAGGTGTCATCCTTTTCTACAAAGAAATGAGCTAATTTTGTGTGTTCTATGTTTCCGTCGGCAACATGTTGAAATAGCTGCTTTTCATGTGAACAATCAGGTCATATTTAAGAGGTAATTAGGTTTTTAAGTGCTTGTGTTGAATTTATACGTCTTATACTTGCTCAAAAAAGAAAAGTGTCTTATTGTAGTACTATGGTTCTTAACTTAATAAGAGCGAGCTAATCGTTGTGATGTATAGTACGGTAAAAGTTGGTCTGTAGCTCTAGCTCTTCTTTGGTCAGAGAAGGTCAAATTTGGGGTGGAAAAATCAAACTTCAGCAGACAGCAAGCGTTCATAATCTGAAGACCTGTTGGTCGATGATGGATTCTTGTTCACTGGTGATGTATGTAAAGAACTACCAATTACCGGGCACCCTTGCTAGACTTCCATCAGCTGGAGGATTGAAATTTTAGCTACCTTATCACATATCAATAGACTAATTTCAGCATATATTTGTTGCACCCAAGGGTATGGCCTGGTGGTCAATGAAGTGGGTTAAGAACCATGAGGTCTCAGACAAAAACACTAGGTGATTTCTTCCCATCTGTCTAGCCTTGGTGGACAGAGTTACTTGGTACCTGTTGATGGTAGGAGATAACAAGTATACCGTGGAATTAGTCGAGGTGCACGCAAGCTAGCCCGGACACCACGGTTATAAAAGAAAATCAGCATATATTTGTAGCCCCTTTCTAAACTAAGTTATGGCATCAGTTTTCAGGAATGAACTAACTGAATCCTACAAAATTGAGAATGAGCAGGACTTGGGCTGTTACTATTCTTCTAGCTGTGATGATTATACATGAAAGCTCCATTTTCATATATATTTTTAAAGACACATTATCAAAATAAATAAAATGATAGTCATCTAAAGACCGACTCACTGACATACCATGTCAAACTGGATAATAGGCGGAAAGGTTTTCATCTGGAAAGAGGAGACCCTTTTTTTAAAAAATGATTATGCTTTGGCATCAATGAAATCACTGCGCTTGGGGAAGTGCTCCCACTCTACTACATCAAGTTTGTGTTATACAAGACAAGGGCAAAGTAACCAAGAATATAGTAATTAGTGATGACCTACAACAGCTGATGAGCGGTTGCATTTATGTGAAAAAAACATATGTACTCTAGTTATTCCTTTTGCTCGACTCTTTATTGTTCTTGTTATCCCGCTGAAGAATTGTGTTGAAAATTCAGTTCTATCGCTCTTTAGATTGGTTGTACTGTCAAGAAAATGCAGTCATATCTCAACTTTGTACTGAATTTATTTACAGGCATGGAGGGGATGGCATGTCCGAGGAAGATGGCAGGGTAGAATAGGCGTGTCGCATAGTGTTCTCCACATCTCTAAATCTCAGAATTGATGTTATCTTAAACCATTGACTTCTATTTTGTGTAATGGACAGTGATGTTTCTTATGATTGAAATACTGTATATTGCTTTTAGTAGATTGATATGAGTTTTTCTTCCATCCTTTTTTGGCCCTTATTATCATTTACAATTATCCCTATTTGTTAGCTAAGTTCATTCGTTTAGTCTTTATGCTATTTGTTCATTTACGAAGGTTACTTTTGGTTTGAGTGGCTCAAGTGATTACTGCAAGCTGGTTCTCGGGGTTAGATATGAGCCACTATAACATTTTGAACTGCTTTTTTTCGTTTTAAAGGAAGGTATTTGGCAGGATATGTGGTTTGAAATGTTATACGTTGACATGTATATTCTATTAGTAATAGTGCAAGCAAATGTTAAAATAATAATTGACAAGTCGGTTATATAAAGAAAACATCGTATCGTAGTCTGGATTCACTTTTTTATTGTTGTGAAATTTGTGGAGAATTGTAATAATGTAAAATTATTAGGACCAAACACATACAGAATGCAAAAACAGTGTGTCAACAATTAGGACTGGGCCACTGGGACTAGTGATTGCCATCTACTTCACCACTTTCTGCACGTGTTTCATATCTTTGCTTTCAGAATCAAGAATGATTATAAAAAGACAAAAAATTCTTTTGACTTGGAATTCCTATTTGAGATTTGCAGTAGCTCATGCATAATTAACCTGAACTGTATGTTGATAAAGGAAGAAAGAGATACTTAGAGTAAAGAGTGGAACAAAGACCGTAAAATTCTTTTCCATATACAAATGACGAATTCACCTTACTGGACTACTATTTTGTGTTCAGTGTGTGCTAACCGGTGGGAACGTAGGGTTTTTGTCTAAGATAATTAGTGGGAATATTGTGGCTTATTATTTCGCTTTTCAGTGCAAGTTCTATTTACTAGCTATCGCTTTTGCTTTACATCTTTTTTTTAGGTTTCATGGTGTTTCTATTTTTCTTATGACTGTTGTGGTGATACTAATATTTACTAATATTGTCTCCCTTTACTTTGCATCTTTCTTCTGAATTTCATGGTGTTCCTATTTATCCTATGATTGTTGTTGTGATACTAATATTGTCTCCCTTTACTTTGCATCTTTCTTCTGAATTTCATGGTGTTCCTATTTATCCTATGATTGTTGTTGTGATACTAATATTGTCTCCCTTTTTGCCCCCTTTTTTTTTTTTTTTTTTTTTTAGTCGAGGGTCTTTCGGAAACGGCCTTTCTACTCTTTCGGGGTAGGGGTACGGTCTGCGTACACACTACCCTCCACAGACCCCATTAGTGGAATTTTACTGGGTTGTTGTTGTATGTGCTAACCGGAGGTTACATCAAATGAAATGAATTCCTCTAATCCATCGTTGTTCTGTAGCAATCCCCTTATAATGTCTTTCAACTATCTTTCTTCACGGAGGAAATATATATATTTATATACATATATTATATACTAATGGTGCTTAAATCAGTTTATATATGCTTTGGTTATTTTGATTGGATATGTATTTTAAGAACGAAAGACCAAATTTATCCCTCTACTATAACAAACATTTATATTGCCCTTTGTTACACTATCTGAACAAGAAAGCCCTACCATTACCTAAAGGTCCCAAAATACCTCTCCGCTAACGGCCATCTGACGTGTCCATCTAATGCCGATGCCACAAGAAAATCATCAGAAACTCAATTATCTGTTTTCCTCATTTGGGTTAATTTAGCCCTTTACTATTTAATTTGAAGCAATTTTACCCTTCTACTATTCGAAAATGTGCAATTTTACCCTCGTTGATATTTCGAAAGAGAGCGAAAGATAATATCATACCATTGAGTTTTCTCTTGCAATGTGCAAGAGGAAAATTCCTCATTCAAATTAAGAATTATCAATTTATAATTATTGAACTTTATAATAACCAACAAGTACGTTTTTGCAAAAAATTAAAAATATTTTTAAATTTGTTTTGAAAGATAATGCTAAAATAAAAGTTAATGTAACGGCCCGATCGGTCATTTTGTGTAATTGCGCTTTGTTTTCCCTTTTCATGCTTCACACATGTGTGCTTATGATTTTATGACTTGCGGGGTTGGTTAGTTTCATTCCGGAAAGCTTTCGGGTTGATTTGGACCCTTGATTCTTGACTTAGAAGTTTTAATTTGAAAATATTGACCAAACTTTGACTTTTGTGAAAACGACCCCGGAACTGTATTTTTATGACTCCGATAGCTTCGTATCGTGATTTCGGACTTGGACGTATGCCCGCAATTGATTTTGGAAGTCCGTGGGTTGGATTGTGTTGATTTGCCAAAATTTGGCAATTTAAAGTTGAAAAGTTTGACCTTAGGTTGACCTTTAGCTAATGAGCCCAGAATTTAATTTTGGGACTTGGAATAGGACCGTTATGGTATTTAGAACTTGTCTGCAAAATTTAGGGTCGTTTGGAGTTGATTTGATAGGATTCAAACGTTTAGTTGTAATTCTAGAAGTTCTTGAAAATCTCCTTGAATGTCACGCATTTTAGAGTTCGATTCGTAGTTTTAGATGTTAATTTTATGTTTTGATCACGCGAATGAGTTCGTATGATATTTATAGACTTGTGGATGTTTGGTTTGGAGTCCCGAGGGATCGAATGAGTTTCAGACACATTCCAGAAGTGTTTTGGACTGAAAATCCAAGTCTGGTATGTGGTGCCCTCTGGTGTCGCAATTGCCAACACCAGGGTCGCATTTGCGACTATAACAGAAATAACAGGTATCACAAATGCGATGCCTTGGTAAGCAAGTCTGGGCTGGCTAGGTTCATATTTGCGATGATTTATGTCACAATTGCGAGGGAAGCAGGGTTCGCAATTGCGAACCCATATTCACATTTGCGAAGAATCTCCCCAGGCCTTCAGTGTCACAATTGCGAGGTTTTAATCGCAATTGCGAGGGTTCGCAAGATAACTGCAGCTGAACATAAGGCCTGAAAGTCGGGATTTTATCTCTCATTCTCTTGTTTATGAACCCTAGACTCGGTAGGAGGCAATTTGGAGAGAGGATTTTCACCTACAAATCTTGGGTAAGTGATTCTAATCTATTTCTAATTATATTCCATCAACATATCTTAGATTTAACATCAAAATCATGTGAATCAAAGTGAAAATTTGTGAAACTTTGTCAAGTTTTTATAAAAATAAGAATTTGAGTTTTAAGAGTCGATTTGGGCTCGGATTTTGAAACTAATCACATATATGAACTCGTCGGGATATGGGTAGACGGAATCTAACATTGGACCAGGTTTTTGACCGGGTAGCTCCAAGTTGACTTTTGTTAACTTTTTGGGAAAAAACTTTTTTCGAGTGTTGAATTGGCCTAGGTGAGGTAAATGTCTTGCCTAACTTCGTGTGGGAAAACTACCTCTTAGGATTTGGTATTGATTGTGTCTTTTGTGCTATGTGAAAGCCGTGTACGCAAGGTGACGAGTGGGTACACAGGTTGTACGTGGTATTTGACCGGTTTAGGCTACTTAGACTATTTCCATGCTTTAACTGAAATGACATATCATGTTTTAAATTCTCATAGTCAATTTATCCTTAACTGTGTTAGACTATCCTTACATGCCTTAATTGGCTTGTTTAGTACTTGTTCTACATCCTACTTGCTAAATTGCTCTTATGCTTTAGTTGAACTTGTTACCTCTTTTATTGTTACATGCTATTTCTTCATTGTTAATTACCGTTACTTGAAGTAATTATTCATGGTATCCCTTTCCTTGTTGATTTTCATTATTTGAGACTCATTGTTAAATGTTATCTCTTTTATTATGAGTTAGTCTTATCTAATATCGTGGTTATACATTATTTATCTCATTGTTGAGTTATTTGGTATTGAAATTGTGAAAGTCGTTAACACGTTGAGGCGAGGTTAGCTATTGTTGAAACATCTATCTTCATGAGCATTTTTCATTCATTGAATACGTTGTGGTGGAGCCATGGTCTAATATTGTGAAAATATTGGTATTATTGTTGTATTTGGTAAGTTATGATATATGGGCACTTGTGGTGCGAATTGTTATTGTGATATGATATTGATGCACATGTGGCAGTATAAGACTTGGGGTTAATGGACATGCGACGATATAAGGTGGGACTTATGTGCGTATTATTGGTAGAGGAACTATGTGAAGCAACGTGGCGTCATAAGGTGGGCTAAAGTGCGTGTAGCTATTTCGGAAAAAATATTTTCAAAAACCTATTTCAAATATAAGGCTCACATAGCAGTATAAAGAAAATTATGATTGAAATTGAGAAATGTGAATACGAGGCGGTACCTCGGTTGTGATTCTTGATTATACGAGGTGGTACCTCAGTTTTGATTTTATTATACACGAGGCGGTACCTCATTGTGATTCTTGCTATTTATTTCATGTTGCAAAGTGTTTTGGTGGGAATATATCTTGTTGTTTTATTCTTTATTATTCTAGCAGTTGTTGTCCGTAAATGATCATTGTGGCCCCCTTAGTTGTTTCTTTTATGCTATTTTCATTGTTGATTTTTGGTATTAGTTCATGCTACTATCTTTTTTTCGTACCAACTGTTTCTTCACCTTCCGTTACATATCCGTATTATATTTTTATACTGTTTATTTTATATCCTAGTAGGTGTATTGACCTGGCCTCGTCACTACTCTACTGAGGTTAGACTTGATACTTACTGGCTACCATTTGTGGTATACTCATACTACATTTCTACATATATTTTTGTGCATATCCCGATATGTCTGCTCATGCCGGTCGTTAGAGATTACTTGCTAGCTGCCTTTGTCGGAGACTTCAAGGTATGCCTGCTCGGCGTTCGCAGGCCTCGGAGTCACCTTTCCTCATTCTCATTTACTGTTGTATTTCCTTTCAGATAGTGATGTAGTAGTTACTCTAGTATACTCTGTAGAGCTTATGACTCAGTTCCACCGGTTTTTAGGAGCGTACTGTTGAGATTATGTTTGTATCAAAAGGTTTTATCAGTTATTCAGCTTTGTTTCTAGCGTTTTGATAATTGTTCTGTCAAGTTATTACTATTTGTTAGGCTTACCTAGTCGTAGAGACTAAGTGCCATCACAAC